TATATATATATATATATAACTTGTACAAATCTTTCCATTTTGCAAGTCGATCCGATCCATTCGTTCGTAGAGCTATTACTTAATCGCAAACATTTCTAGAACACCTCTAACAGAGGGGCAAATAGTCAATTTTGAAAGAACTAATTATTGTCAACCTCTTTTAGATATGAATCTATCTTATTCAGAAGGGAAGAACTTAGATCAGTATCTCAATTTCAATTCAATCATGGATTTGATTTATACTCCATATTCTGAGAAAGATTTATCATCCGGAAAAAAAAAAGGACTCTTTGTCTGAAGTAATGCATAAAAAGGAATTGTGATTATCAAGGTTTTGTATACTTGTTATTTCTTCTTCGTTAATTATTAAATTACTATAAAATTCAAGACAATAGTGCAACCAAAAGACAACCATAAATATCAGCAAGCAATGGCTACTTATAGAAATACTTACTATATACTTTATTTTGTTCTAATTTATGTGTCATACTTTCTTTTTTTTGTATGTTTCAAAAAAATTTCATACTTTCTTATTTAAAAATAATTCAACTTTAAACTTCTTATTTTACTCTGAATAAGATAATTTATAGCCACGCAAATACTTTTGATTTGTTTTAGAACACAAATTTTAAAAATCTTTTTTTCTTTCTTAAATTCTGTGTGTCAAGTTAAACACAGTTACACAAATTGGGACGAAAGGAATATATTACTATTACTAGTCAAGTTGTTGATTATACGTGCTCACTGACAGCCAACCACGATGATCCCTTTCTTACAAACATATATATTAGTAATACTTAAAAAATAAGTATACTTTTTAAAGTTTTATTTAATAGTGAAAGAGAGTAGAGGTGCCGTAGAGGGAAGATGAAGAGTTGTGTTTCGTCAACCTTTTATGACAACTAGCTTGGATAGATGGGGTCAACGGGTGATAAAAGATCTAAACATATCGCATGCATCAAATTACATATTTTATCATTTAAAGTTAAATCCACAATAGCATGCAGTAGTAATTTTTTTGCATTCTCTTATTCTTAGATTTATAGTATTATATGTTGTTTCTTTTGTTTCATCTATCTCACTATCTTCCTGCTGTTATTATTTCTTTTCCTTTCAATGCCTATTTGAACTAAGCAGTCTCTTTATCTTCACAAGATAGGGGTAAAGTCTGTTTACACACTATCCTCCCCAAACTTCACTTATGGAATTACACTGAATTCATTGTTGTTATATCATAATTAAAGTTAAAATGCATATTCCATAGTTAAATAATAAATTTTATGTAAAATATATATCTATTTAATTCGGTGTATGCAAAAGAAAGAGCAGATATTTACCAGGAACAACGTCCATCTAAAGTTCACTTAAATTAATGATAAATCTAAGTGATGAATTGTGGTGGTGAAGGTTTATGTTCTGGTAATTAACCTTATTAAGAAACCAAGTTTAACGATTGTGAAAATAAATCCCCAATTTTTTTACTCATAAAAAAAAAAGTAATTGTACCGATTCTAAATTCGTAACGATTTCCAATGTGTATTTGGATGTTGATGTTAACTATAATTAATATCCTAGTATTAGTAAAATAAGAAAACCCGAAGATACAATTACTAATGATTTATTTATTTAATACCTTTTTCCACATTTTAGTTATTAACACTGTTACACACACGTATGATATGTGTATATGTACATGGATTTTGGTTAAGTGATAATGAAACTTTAAGAACTTATATTATGTGGTGAATAATCCACATAGACTTGTCTTTGACTTTCGTCAAAAGATTTAAAATTAATTGCACTAACATAATTGCACTATTTAATTTGAAGATCATCTAATAATGGAAAATTCATTGACTTTTCATGTGCAACAGCAAGTGGCGTATTATAATTCCAACGTTTTGTTGTATAGAAAAAGAAAACTTGCAACTCCAGTCATCAACACTTTCAAAAATAATAATCGAATATATATATATTTTTATATTAATGCACAAATGCATATTTATAGATAATCAAAGTATTTTTTTTAATATTTAACTAATAAATATAATTATTTTTTGCCATCAGCCAAATATGTAACTTACCACGAAAGTTTGAAATGCAGAGGTGTCAGTTGTAGAAAACTTTGCGAACTCTTCAAAAAAAAAAAAGTATTATTTGGTATAGATTTTCATGAAAACCTCTATCAGAAACAACTTTTTGGAAGGATAAAACTGTTTTAAACATTTAGAGAACTAAATAAAACTACAATTATCAAAATTTCGAATAACCACAATTATTTTTTAGAGGGGAAAGCTCCAAACAATCCGAAATTGATCAATTTTAACTTTTGTTGCGCTTTTGATCCATTCACCCTTTAAAGTTAAAAAGCTTATCGTATATGCCCATGTAATTAACGGAGCTCCACTATGAAATGAGTCAATTCCCCGAGTCCAAAATTTTCAAGAAAATATGTCCAAATTTATCCATCAACTTTTAACTATAATTTAAAAATAACCTTAATTTGAAACTCCGTTAAGTCTCTAGGGTAGAAGAGAGACTTTTTTCCTAATAATTAAGACAATATTAGATAAAAACAATTTAACGAAAGAAATAATTATTGAATTCAATCCCTTTTTTCAATAAAGTTGTCATTATTCCCTATTCATAACTTAAAATAAAATTTTCCACACATGGTAACATGTTTTGTACATAGATATTCTCTCTTAAAAAATTGAATTATTTCCTTCTATTTTTGGAAATATTCCAACTTTGTTTTTTTATAATAAAAAAAACTGTTTACACGCCTGAAAATGTTTTTTCCGTAAATAAGCAAAGAAACCAAGGGCAAAATGATAATAACACACATTTTCGCGGCTCTACAAATACGGAGAACCGAAAGCCAGTGTATGGGCGTGCTCTCTTTCTCGTTCCTTTCCTCACTCTTTGGAACTCTTCATTTCTTCTCCGTTCTTTTCTATATCAATCATCTCTTTTTCAATTTCGCAAAACAAAAACAAAAACAAAATAAAAAAACTATCTCCTATCCTCCTATCAATTTATCTTCTAAAAGAGGATGATACAGTGAAGGCCAATTTATTATTATTATTATTATTATTATTATTATTATTATTATTATTATTATTATTATTATTATTATTATTATTATCTCTCTTTTAAACTTCTCCAAGTTTCCAAGATTCAGGTTCTCTCTCCTTCTTTCTCTTGAAAATTATTGTGTACATAAACCGTTTACGTAATTCTAAATGCACAATTATATTTGAAATCGGTCTGAATAAAACGAAATGTGAATATTATGAATTCATATATAATCGACTTTAACTTGTTTGAGATTGTGAATATTGAGTGCTTGTTGACTGATGAAAGGTTAGAGAGAAACATAGCCAGTGTNGATGGAAAATGAGGGGTAGGATTGTCGTTTGGTGGTTGGTGATTTTGGATTTTTGGGTAATTTTGAAGGACCTTAAATTTAGGAAGTTGGCAGAGAAGCAAAATGGTAAGGAGGAGGGTTCGTGGAAACAGAAAGAGACAACTCGTTTTAGACTCTAGTTTTTGCAGATTTTCAATTTATCTTTTTTCGTTCATTTTTTTTTTTACTATTTTGTGCAGAGTTTTCGGGTGTTATGGCATCAGCATTAGGCTACAAGTCAAATAAGTTTTCCTGGTGATCTAGGAGCTTCATTTATAACCTTTGTTTCTTTCTTTCTCATCTGGTCTTTACTAGCAATACGTTGTATGAATTTAATTTTTTTCTATAAACAGTGTATTTTATAAACTAGTTAAGCCAAAAAAATGGTTCAAAAATTTCTTTGTTTGATAATCGAAAAATTGCCGAGAGCCGGTGGCCCGCAATTAGAAACTGGTTGGATTGGCGCACTATTAGAAACTCGGTATATGCTGAGCCAGTCCCTCTACCCTTCTCCATCTAAATAACAATTACTGACATTGTTTTATTTTCTGTTAACTCATGAACTCTGGATCCCGTATTCAGAAATTGCGTTATCTCATATTTTTTGCACTTACTAATAGATTACTAATCATTATGATATTGAGGTATCAACTCATATAGTATATATATGTTTTGGTTACAGTTAATATTAATGATTTGATTGTGTAAAATTTTGTCGCACTAACAAGTCATCCTTGTTGCTGTCATACTATTATGAAACGCGGAAATTATAGTTCTAGGAAAAAGGGAGGGAGTAAACAATTTAGAAGTTTGCACTTTTTAATAAAAAGGATGTGGCAACTTTGAGGACTTGAATGGGGTGTGGTACTTTTGTTGTGTATATTTAGTACTAGTGTTCATCATTTTAACGAGAAAAACACCTTTATAAAGTGGTTCCAGTACCTTAGATTAAAATAATTCCATTGTTTCTTTTTTCAAGCCTTAAACTGAAACCACAACATGTGTTTTTCCTTAAAGTTGTTTTTTAAAGTTTGTACTTTAGCTAGATGCTTTGGGTCCCCTGTAAAGAGAAAAATCGTGAGATTAAGATGGGTTCTTTTTTCAAGTATCATTGTTGAAGTGGGACAGAAAAGAATATTGCATATTTATATTTTACCAACCCCATTTTTAAATACTTATTTCAGTTGCATCTGAAGTACGTGCTGTGCACTTTGGAGCATTAGATTTACTTGTCACATGGGAAATGTGTAAATCTTTGGCCTTAAGGATTATATATTTTACAGCCAAAAATTTTATAGAGTTCCTAATATGTGCTATATAAGGTAATTCCAGATAGTTTAATTGGTGTTGGACATGATCATGATATGCAGGTATTGAAGATTTTGACTGTTTCTTGTTGATTTGGAGTTGTTTTATCTAAGCTCAGATATGGCTACACCAGCAGCACCCCTGAAATGTCCACCACCTATGAAAGCTACCTCTAATGGAGTATTCCAAGGGGACGATCCGTTGGATTATGCACTTCCTCTTGCCATTGTACAGATATGTTTAGTACTTGTTCTCACTCGTGTTCTTGCCTATCTTCTCCGGCCATTGAGACAGCCACGTGTTGTTGCTGAGATTATTGTGAGTGTTTCTTGCTTTTTGCTTTCATTCTTTAATGAAGTCAACTACATTTGGCTCCATGTGCATGGAAACATTTAACATTGTGGAATAGAATGATTTGTGTTTTATTCCAGTTATGAAAGTTCTTTAATGAACTCAACTACATTTAGATGATATTTGGAGATTCTTGCATATTTCTGCTCACATGATTCACTGCTCTATCGGAACAACTATTAGTAACAGACTAACAGTCTTAGCTCTGGTGCAAGAAAGAGGTGACATTGGATATTTTTGTTTTTGTCAGGGAGGAATTTTACTAGGTCCATCTGCTCTAGGTCGCAACGAGAAGTATCTGCATACAATATTTCCACCAAAGAGCCTAACAGTGTTGGATACTTTAGCAAACTTTGGCCTCCTTTTCTTTCTTTTCCTGGTTGGGCTGGAGTTAGATCCGAAGTCTCTTCGTCGGACTGGGAAGAAAGCTCTATGTATTGCTGTTGCTGGAATCAGTCTCCCCTTTGTATTAGGAATAGGAACATCCTTTGCTCTCAGAGCTACTATATCAAAAGGGGTTAATCAAGGCCCTTTTCTGGTGTTCATGGGAGTGGCTCTCTCTATCACTGCCTTTCCTGTTTTGGCTCGTATTCTAGCTGAGCTCAAACTTTTAACAACAGATGTTGGTCGAATGGCCATGTCTGCTGCAGCAGTCAATGATGTGGCTGCATGGATTTTGCTTGCTCTTGCTATTGCCCTCTCGGGTACTACTAGTTCTCCCCTTATTTCGCTTTGGGTCCTTTTGTGCGGGGCTGGTTTTGTGATACTCTGCATATTCATTGGTCCTCCTATATTCAAATGGATGGCTAGACGTTGTTCGGATGGTGAGCATGTAGATGAGATATATGTGTGTGCTACACTAGCAGCAGTTTTGGCTGCAGGATTTGTCACTGATACTATTGGTATTCATGCCTTATTTGGGGCTTTTGTGCTTGGAGTTCTTGTACCCAAGGAAGGACCATTTGCAGGCGCACTAGTGGAAAAAGTGGAGGACCTTGTGTCCGGTTTATTCCTTCCTCTCTACTTTGTTTCTAGTGGATTGAAAACGAACGTAGCCACTATTCAGGGGGCTCAATCATGGGGTCTTCTTGTTCTTGTCATATTTACATCATGCTTCGGGAAGATTGTTGGCACCATTGTCGTCTCACTCCTTTGCAAGATGCCTATGCAGGAGGCTCTGACTCTTGGTTTCTTGATGAATACTAAAGGTTTAGTCGAGCTCATTGTTCTTAATATTGGCAAAGACAGAGGGGTATGTATCTTCACACTTCACTTCTAATTTGTTGAATTCATGAGTTTATTAGTTCTAAGCTTACATGGTTTTGGCTGATCATTTTTGCAGGTACTGAATGATCAAACATTTGCCATCATGGTGTTGATGGCTCTCTTCACAACGTTCATCACAACTCCTATTGTGATATCAATATACAAGCCAGCTAAATTAGCTGTCACTGAATACAAGCATAGAACAATAGAGAGGAAAGACACGAGCAAACAAGTCCGAATGTTGACATGTTTCTACAGCACAAGAAACATTCCCACACTGATCAATCTCATTGAAGTTTCTCAAGGAACTGAGAAGAGGGAAGGACTTCGCGTCTATGCCATGCACCTTATGGAGCTTTCCGAAAGGTCATCAGCAATCTTGATGGTCCACAAGGTTAAAAGGAATGGGCTTCCCTTTTGGAATAAAGGGGAGGTTGCAGATTCTAACCAAGTAGTGGTTGCTTTTGAGACATTTGAGCATCTTAGCAAAGTGTCTATCCGACCAACAACAGCAATCTCTCCCATGAATAGCATGCATGAAGACATTATTACTAGCGCCGAGAGAAAGAGGGTAGCCATGATAATTCTCCCATTCCACAAGCACCAGCGACTTGATGGACATTTCGAAACAACCAGAACCGATCTTAGGCATGTGAACCGCAGAGTTCTTCAGCACGCACCGTGTTCAGTCGGTATCTTGGTCGACAGAGGTCTCGGTGGAGCATCTCATGTATCTGCTAGCAATGTCGACTTTACAATAACTATCTTGTTCTTCGGTGGCCATGATGACCGTGAAGCACTTGCTTATGGTGTGCGTATGGCTGAGCACCCCGGTGTCACACTAGTCGTGGTACGTTTTGTTGTCGACCCTGAGGTTGCTGGTGGCAGTGTCAAGATAGACATCAACCAGAACTCCAGCCTTGAGGCTCAACCAGAGGACGAAGTGTTACTTTCCGGATTGAAACAGAGAATCTCAAAGGACGGATCGATCAAATACGAAGAGAGGACAATCAAGGATGGTGCAGAAACTTTTGAAGCAATAAAGTCATATAACAGATGCAATCTATTTCTAGTTGGAAGAATGCCTGAAGGTCAAGTGGTTGCAGCTTTGAATAAAAAGAGTGAATGTCCAGAATTGGGGCCTATAGGAAACTTGTTAATATCCTCTGAATTTTCAACAACAGCATCTGTTTTGGTGGTGCAGCAATATCGCAGCCAATTATCTCAAGACTCATTGAGTTCTTTGGAGGATGGAGAATCATCAGAAGGAAATGAGTCGAACTAAAACAGTGGAAATAGTAACTCAGTCGTATTTTGACATATTTTCACAAGTTCACAATGTACAATAATAGAAAAGAGGGAATTACCAAATAAGGAAAGTTTATGTGTGTATATATATATATATATATATATATATATATCTTTGGCATTCCCTCATTGTTACCTCATTAATCTTGTTATCATGTTATGTAAATCTGCAGAATGTTAAAGTTTCTATGAAGATTTTCATCAAGCATCTCAATAATCTGTACTCTATAATTGCATTTTTCCATTAACTATTCAAGTATTTTGGTTGGTGTTTTGTTTAAAAAAACAAAACTTAACAATAAAAACACAAAAAGATATTTCACAAAGAATAATACAATTGCTAGATTTTCTTATGCAGTCGAACAAGGCGTATGCACCTTATACCATGGGATGTCACGGGACACCGCTTGGTCGAAATTTGTCACTAGATATTTATAAGAAAAATAAAAATATCGGGAATATATATAGAAAATGACACTGCTAATTATTATAGTGATTTATTCATTACTTTAAAATATGACACCGCTAATGTAAAATCTTGCTTACATCAGCAAGTGTACGGAGCAGATTATCCAAAATATATAATACTACATTAATGGCTTATATTATTTTCCACCAACATTACAAAATAAGAATCATTCTTGTAAAAGCAAACCAAAATTCTTGTTGCTTGCCCACCACATTACCATTCTCCAGAATGGAAAAACTCTGGTATTTATAAAGTAACTTCGTCATCATAGAAAGGTACAGTTGATAATTTTCGACGTGTCCAACGTAATAAACTATGAATGGGATCCTAAAAGTTGTCAATTTGAAGAATTAATAAATATAAATATTTTAATCTCTATTCTCACGAGACAGGTAATAATCCGAATAACAATTTCACAAATTCAAACTCCAGTGATCAAAAGGTTATTGATGTCTAATTTAATATGCTATACTTCTCCGATTCAAAATAAATGTCGTTTTAGCTAAATTAATTGGTTCAATTTTTCCCCTAATCTACCCCGCTCCAATTGATTATCTATATAATTTTCTAAAATCTATGAGGAGATGGAAATGGTAATTTGAGGAGAAATAACCGGTAATCTAGTATAACTATTATTATTAATGTTATTAAATAATTTTCTTAATGAGTATACCGAAAATCTTAAAAGACACTTATTTTGAAGTAACTCAACCTAATTGATCTGGTGTTCTTCGTTGAACAAAAGATTGTATAATGCAAAACGATAAAGATTTGTGACACAGTCATTTTTATGTCATTTCAACGACAATTCTTTTTTGAAATGTACAAATGAAACATTTGATTAAAGCAAATGGACTAAATTTAAACGTGTATTTTGTTTGCTAACGCGCATCTTCAACTGATTTGCTAGCATTTTTTCTTTGGCATAATTATTTTGACCCGCAACAAAAAACTAGAGCAATCGCCGAAAGATCAACTTTTTCACAAATAATACATCATGCTCTGAATTTAATTACTACTAAAGCAACGTTGGTGCTGACTTTATGTCCTTAATTTATTTCTAATAATTTTGAATTAACTAATATATGGAAACCCTACTTAACAATGATTGGTTCCTATAGTCTCTCAAAAGACTTGAGAAGTAAAATGATTCATCTCCTAAGCATAATGAAAGGTTGAACTAATTGTAGAATAGTAGCATAATAATTGAATCCATGATATTGGTGGGATAATGGGCAACTCAGTGTACAGAGTATTTCACATTCAAGTAAGGTTTGGGGAAGGGCATACCCAAGAGGGTGTAATGTAGGCGGTCTGCCCTAATTCAAGTATTAGTGACTGATTTTACGTTTCGAACTCGTGACCTATGGGGTCACACGGAGACTACCATACTTAACTATAGCTTGCCTAATTATATCATCTTACTGTTCAAACGAATACAACATGTATCAATTGTATTCGTGTGTGCAACGAATACAACCAAAGCGAAATACAGAAAAATAGATTGCTCTCATTGAGAGTCAAACTCAAGACTTAAGCTTACTAAGCGGGCACTCTAACCAACTAAGCTACGAGAGCTTGTTGCTCTCTTGTTTCAGTTTAAAACAACCAATCTCTTGTTTCAGTACTACCGGTGGATTTGTTATAAAATTCAAATACAAATGATAATTTTCTGAAAGTATAATTACGAATGATAAATACAATATATATGTTTGTTGTATCGCATAATTTTTCCTATTTTCTAATAATGTTAGAAGTACAACTAACCAATATTGAAACCCTACTTGACTTTAAAAAAAGGATCCTAATGTCTCTAAAGACTTGAGAAAGGAAAATTATAAGGACTCCTTAGTATAATGAAAGGTTGAGCTGATAGTGGAATAGTAAGCTTAATATATAATTGAATGGACTATGTTCTTTGGGAAATGGGAGATGCCAAATTTCAATGGCTCATATTTTCTTATGGTTTGTTATTTGGGATCTGTCTGGCTCAATTTGGAAATTTCAAAATAAGACAGATTTGATTTAATCATATTTTGAAACATAGAATAAACTTAATCTAAATTTAACTCTACTGAATTTGGTTTCTAACCTAATTAGGTAAAAGTTAAGAAGTAATCAAAATTATATTCCTTATATTAGGCAAATTTCTAAATGTGAATTAAATCTTCAAGCCTTGCATGTCTAGTACTGAAATATTGTGACAACTATCAAATATATAAAATACGCGACCGCACAAACTAACCACATAAGGTAGCAAACACAGTAGCTAATTACAGACAAAATATAACCCCAATCAAAATGATTTGCCTAACCTTAATTGCAATAAGGTAATATTATTGAAGGAATTAGTTGACTACAAAATTGCAGGTGTTATAATTGTAGGAAAAGGTCCAAATTTACCCTCTATTTTTGAATATTGTCTGCATCTAACTTTCATTATACTATTCGGTCAAATTTACCTTTACCGTTATAATATCCAGTCAAATTTATCCCTACCATCAGCAAACGTCTAAATTATCCCTCAATTTCGTCAGATGACTCAGAATCTCCCAAATCATTTTAGTTAAGTCGCTTATTCTTCTTCTTGATCCACTAGTTTCAACATAGTTGCCATTTACTTGCTTTCTTGATTGAAAAAAAAATAAGAGAAAGAAATATTAAAATAATACAATGGTTAGTGAAAAAGTATAGTAAATGAAGAATCTAAATTAGGTAGCTTGTCTAAATTCTAAAAATATTTATAACACCCCAGCTTTAATGAATTTGTTGCACCAAAAGTATGGAGACTTTGCAAATATTAGTGATATAAGTTGAAGTTCCTTGGAGACTTTGCATTGTCTATCACGACCCATTTTCTGAACAAGCCGGGACCGGCACCCGATCACTAAACATGACCGAGCGAACCATCTGCGCTTATCAAATCTATCATAACTTCAAACTTTATATGCCACAAGGCACTATTGTAACCAAATACTTTTAATTAATTTAAATATCTAAAATAAATCAACTTCAAAACGTTATTTGTAGTAACTACTGAAATATTGTAAATTTATTATTAAAAACATCCGAATCTTAACCCACCGATTGTGTCTATGAAGCCTCTACTGATAAACTGACGCACTGCTCAGGACATGAGATTTTCTGGCCAGTTCTCTGAGTAAACAAAGAAATAGCTAAATTATGACGACTCAAAGGAGTACTCCACGAACAAAAGCGGAGCTCACCAATAACACTGGAAGTAAGGGAAGTCCTAACCCGTAGCCTGCTCGCCTGCAAAATCAGTGCCCACATTGTACCGCAGACCAACGTAGGTTCCCAAAAGAGAACGTCAGTACCATCCATTGTACTCAGTGAGTCTCAACGACAGGGAACAAAACTTTAATAAAATATACATTACAAGCAAATGTTCTAAATGCATGGAAAACATAAAGTTTCTAAGAACAATTCTAAAATAATTGCATAACAGCAGTTTATGAATATTCTAAAAGAAATTCTTTTCTTTTTCTTTCTTATAAAAAAAATACTTCACTTTATACTTCGGGAGTTCCAACTATCCTGACTTATTTCTGTTTTAGTCACCGTGTGATCGGCACGGGTTCGATCTCAACCTGATCGAATAGGCCCAATCTACGAGGTGTCACTCGTTTCATGATTCTCAGCACTCATATATCATACCTTAGCCTGGCTAAGTAAATTCTCAGCAACGAGACCCTCGGCTCGTGTGCTCCCTACTTTGGCACAAGTAGTTTCAGGAAGTCAATGCCTTGGTCAGGACCCTCGGCCTGGACGATGAGCCCTTCTCATAATAAAGGATACTCCCAAAAATCTTTTCTTTCTAAAACTTCTTCTTGTGACTTTTCAAGTCTAAATCTTTTCTGAAACATCATATAGATACTCATGCTGGTATCCTTAAATATAAAGCATGACATAAGAATGAAATAAACATTCAAAAGTATTTCTAAAGATTCTTGCTTCTTCATAAATTTTCAACATGAAAATGGCATATAAGAATAACACAAAAATCTAAAAATTTATGCACATATATCATAATAAATCATCTAAACTTCAATTCATCAAACACCTTATATGCGTACTTTTGTGAGTTAAACCACTTTAGTAAAGGGTTATATCAACTCACCTCAAAACTCCTTGGGCCAATACGCAGGTCCGGTCTAATTTATACCCGTCAAATAATTAATTCTACATAATCAGTGTATTTTAATTAATTTCAAAATTTCATACCTAAACATAAAATTTAATTTTGATACAGAGAAAGAAGGAAAATAACTATTCAATTCTTACCTACTACTACTTTAAGATAATTGACAATAGGGAATTTTATATACATGAGTTCAAGAATTAGTGATTTGTAAAGAACCCTAGAATTTTCGTTGCATGCGTGTGTAAGTTTCATAGTCTTTGTGCTTGCTGCGTGAACAGAACAATGTTATGTTTCTCTATTTCGAATTAGGCTTTTTAGCCTTCCGCCTGTGAATGAACAGAGGTTTGTTCGATTAAGGCTTTAAGCCTTTTGTGTGTGTGTGACAAACAAAATGCTTTTTTTTTTGTTTTCTTAAAGGCATTAAGCCCTTTGTTTTCCTTTCAATACCTACTTTATGGGTTAGTCACGTGACTCCCTTTTTTTTTAATTACTTTTTTTTTGACTTAACTAGTATTTAATTTGACCCATTGTTAAAAATTAATAATATTAAAATTATTAATATTTC